TTTTGTATTTTTGTAGAGATGGAGTTTCACCATGTTGGTCAGGCTGGTCTCTTAACTCCTTGCTTCAGGTGCTCCATCCACCTCAGCCTCCCAAAGTGCTGAGATTATAGGCATGAGCCACCATGCCCAGCCAGAAGTCATTTTTTTCACACAGGAAATATGAGCCCATGATATTTGTATTTTTTTTCTTTCCAAAAGAGAGGACACTGAAGTTGTACACCCAACATGTTAGCCTAACGTGCCCAGGGTCACAAAGCTAGTCACCGTGAGCATTGGACCTGCATCTGCCCAGCACCCCCACCTCCCACTGCAGCCGGATGTGTTGACCTTGAGTCCTTCTCTGTCTGACCTCTTAGGTCCTCCTGGACCTTTTGACAACTACTTCTTGGCTTCTTCAGAACTACAGACATTGTCTAGAACTCAACCTAGGTAGACTCATTTCATCTACAAGTTCTACCGGACATTAGTGTGTATGATATGGTTGAAGCCATGTGGAATTGGGCATAATAGCCATGGTCACTATCCCCAGGGAGCCACGACAGCGGTCAGAACACAGACTCACAAGTTGACATAGGGGCTGACAAAATCAGGCAGCCACCACTTGCATTCATGGAAGGCATCTCGAAGAAGAAGGTATTAAGCTGAGACCTGAAGGGTATGTGAAAAAGCCTTGAGTGGGAAGAGGCCAGGGGTACTGGAAACCCAAGACCAAGACCGGTCTAGTAGGCTGGAGTGCAAGAGGGAAGGGAAGAGCAGCTAGAGGAGAGGTGGCAGAAAGGGGGTCCCATAACTCCAGGCCTTGCAGGCCAGCTGAGAGAGCTTGGACTTTATTCTAAGAGCCATGGAAGACATTTAAAGGTATAAGCTGTAGTGTGACATGATCGAGCTGATCTTTTTGTGTTTTTGAGACAGGGTCTCACTGTGCCATGCAGACTGCAGTGCAGTGCTGTGATTTCAGCCCACTGCAACCTCTGCCTCCCGGATTCAAGTAATTCTCGTGCCTCAGCCTCCTGAATAGCCAGCTGGGACTACAGGCATGTATCACCATGTGCAGCTAACTTTTTGTGTTTTTTGTATAGGCAGATGTAGGGCTGTTGGCCCCACAGGGTCGTGGGGTGTCCCTTATGCTGTGCTGAGGTGCAGGATCCGAGAAGTAAAGAGACAGGACACTGAAGAACTGGTGAAGAGTAGTTGGACTCCAGGGGCCATGCCACCTGTGAGTGGAGATCAGTGAAAGCCCCAAATGCCCAGAAGCGTCTGTGTTTATTAGATCCAAGCAGGGGGCAGGTCATCATCTATAGGCTTAGTAATAGGGCATACATAATCATGTGAGTCATAAGCAAGGGGGCCACCCCATTAGGTCACCTGGGCAGAGAGGTGGGCTGTGTGCTGTAGGGGGCCGTGCCGTGCGTAGTAGTAGAGGATTGTGTACAGAAAAGGGACCCACCCCTATTAGGTCACCGAGGCAAGGAGGTGGGCTGTGTACAACAGGTGTCGTGTGCATCCCTTCTTATCTGGGGGCTGGAGGCTTCAAAGGATTTCTAATAGAAGTTTACTGTAAGCCAATGCAGTGGGAGCTGGCAGACTTGTGCTCTTCTCTTAACATATTTATGGGAGGATGATTTGACCTAGCACAGAAGCAAGAAAAGACTGACAGGGTGTACAGCCGCTGTGACTAATCACACGAGAGGGGTTCTTCTCCCTCAGTTACTTCCAGGATCTCAGGCCTGAAGCTGACTTTCCACAGGAACTGGATGTAAGGTACTACAACTCCTTTATCAGGAGGAGAGGCTCTTGCTCCAACCCTGCCATACAGCATATGCCCTTTCAGGCAGGGACGCCACCACCTGGGTCTTTGGTTCTCGTCCTGATCTGGCTGTTTTCCCAAGTACTGCTTCTGTTCTGTGACTGCTCTAGGCATTCCTCCTACTATAAACTACTATATAGTTATATAAAAGGATTTCTATAAATCAGCACTAAATGTGTCAGTACAGCTCTGACT